GGGGGGGTGAGACGAATAATTACTGTATTTACTCGAAATGTAAGACAGTTTCCCCTCCCAATAAGCACGGGAAAAAAACCCCTTGCCTTTTATTTGCAGGAGGGGGCACCTGACCCCTCCTTCCCCCAGCCATTGCATTCCTTCCTGCCGCAATGGGGGTGGAGAAAAGGGGACTCAAAACCACCCCCCAATACTTTGATTCTATACATGGAAAATTACAGATTTATAAAATTTTCTATATGCATCAAATCTAATCATTGGAGAGTCATCTTCTATTCAATTAAATACTGTAGCATTTTGGTTTATAGTTATAAGTATTTACTTTAAAAAGTGACATTAGATAAAAGCACAAGCTACTATATGAAGTACCATAAATATATAATCACTGCAAGCTATACAATCCAAACACAGACTAGCTTGAATTGTAATGAAGCAACCGCCTGAGGAAAACACAATCTTTAATACTATGTCTTGAAGGCTAGGCCTTGATTATAGTACACCAAGGTCTCTAGGGAGCAATTCCTTCAGTTTTAGTTCAGGTTGCTTTTGGAAGGACCCACCCGAATACTTACTATTCATATATCTCTAGGGCAGCGGTCACCGACCGGTTGATCTCAGAGCCTCCTGGAATCAATCTGAGGCTGGCAGGGGCTGAGTGCACATCTGCATGAACAGGTGCACCCCACCTCCAGCCCAGCATGTCAGTCCACGGGGGAGGGAAAGGGGCATGGGCCAGATCGAGGCCCCCGCAGTGAGGGACAGAGTGCCACACAGGCAGGAGCAGGGGTAAGGCGAGTGGAGGGATCAAGCCTGGGCAGCTGATCCAGGGGCACAGTGGGTGGCTCCTGCCACTGTGCACACCCTGGTGGAGGCCCCAGGGGCACATGTCCTGTCATCTGCGCGTGGCAGAGGCAGCTGCCATTGTGAGCTGGGCTTTGAGCCCTGAGCCTTGCTGCAGCCCACCTGGGAGCAGTCAGATGTCACATGTCCAGCCACTGGGTGGGCAGGGGATGAGGCTCAGTGTAGCAGTGGGACGCATATGGTGTGGGGCTGCTCCCGGGCCAGGTGCAGTGGGGGTCAGGGTGCAAAGCCTAACCTGCAATGACAGCTGTGAGGGAGGGTGCGGAGCTGGAGCACGTGCCCTCAGATCTGCACACCAACTGGGCTGCGCTCAGACCAGGTGGCAGCTGTGCTGGGAGCAGATCGGGGGGGTGCTGCAGGCACCCAAAAATTCATGGTAGCCCCCCCATAACCCCTGCCTCCCAGTGATGTTGCTGCCTGGCCTGAACATAGCACAGCTCTGCTCTCCACTGTGCAGAGCATGCCACTACCTTTCCCTTCTCCCCCGAATCTGCACGGGGGGAGGGCGGACTGGGGCTAGAAAGCAGAGCAGTACTCTTCACGGCTGGAGATTGGGTTATGCTGTGCTCAGGCCAGGTGGTAACGCTGGGAAGGGAGGCTATGGTGAATTTTAGGTGCCTGCAGCCCTGCCTCCATAGCCCCACTCCCAGCGCTGCCACCCAGCCCAAGCACAGCCCAGCGCGGCCCAGTCTCAGCCTGCAGCAGCCATCACCATGCAGATTCTCCACCACTCCAGGCTGTGCGCCCCCCCAAATCCCTGTCCCACACCCCAGCTGTACAGGGCCTACCCCTGCTCCAGCCCCAACTCCCTCCCTCACCACCACTGGGGGGGCAGGTGGACAGATCAAGCCCCAGCTGTGAGGGAGGGAGTGGGGCTAGGGCTGGGGCCTCAATTTGCACCCCCGCATGGCCCTTTCTCCTCCTCCCGCCCCTTCCCCCTGCTGGGGGGGGATGTGCTCTCAAATAATTACTTTTTCCTCTGCCTCAATCTATACCCCCTCCCCTGCCCACAAACTTACCTGTGGGGGGGCAGGAGAGGGGGCAGCATGGCCTATGGTAGATCTTGGGTTGCTTTTAAATGTTAAAGGTGATTTCCTACTTAAAAGGTTGGAGACCACTGCTCTAGGGTCTGTTAGTAACATATCTTAGGTACCCCCAAACACCACAAAAAATTGTTTAATATTGGCAGACAGTTGGAAGCCTCCGATACAGATACAGAGCACCTTTTAAAATCAAATGTCAACCTAATGAGTTGCATCTAACCATTATGACAAATGTTAGTATTCCAATACTGCACTGACAGGTAAAAGACTTACAAGCTTGCCAATTCCTTTGTCGTGCTTCATCATAAAACTGACGCAATATAAGGAAATCAATAACATCTGGCATATCATGATATCTAGGTAAGACAAGAGAAGACAACTTTCATGAGAACACACAAATCAATATGCATATCACCTATGGAAACCTCACAAATGGCTCACAAC